AAACAACAGACATAAATAAACATAAGTGCTTAAGAAGAAGAATGACATGTGATTTTCATTTCTCAGCCATTTAAGAATTGAAAAAATGAAATGAAATTTAAAATTCTATGAACGATGGCTATATGCTGGAGAAGCTTTGCTTATATGCACATTTTATTCACATGTGAATGTAATCACAATTTAGTTAAATTTCAACAATTCACTCGTATAAGCGGGAGAGAATGCAGTGTAATCGAATGGTTGACTCACAAAGATAAAAGGAGTCCAATCCGGGGTTATTGTAGTCCAGCAAAAAACAAGGCCCTCAAGGCCCAGCGTTGTGGACTCGGTCACTCACCCAATAAAGGAAGTATCAACTGCTCAACTGCAACTGCTGTCGCCGCGCCTCCTCGTCTTTTGCCTTCGTCTTCTCTCAAACTGCAACTGAAACTCACAAATGGCGACGGACAACAAATCCACAAAGTCCAAGAAGGGGAAGCAGCGCTATCTCCCTTACAACGTCAGTTTTCTTTCTCTCTTTCTCTCTTTCTCTCTTTCTCTCTTTCTCACTATTTCTCTGAGATAATTAGACAGAGTTGAATTATTTGTTAAGTGAGAAGTTAATTGTTGTTAAATTGTAATGATGTACAGAAAGCGGTGAAGAAGAAAGGCGCGTACCCATTACACCCAGGGGTGGAAGGATTCTTCATCACTTGCGATGGCGGAAGGGAACGCCAAGCTTCTCAGGAGGCCATTAATGTTATTGACTCTGTAAGCTCTCTCTTCTTTTCTCTTTTCTTCAAATCCCATTTTTCTTTCCCAATTTTCTATCTGGGTTTTTACTTGTTATACCTTTTTCATACTCTACTTGCTGATATGGGAGGTGCTTTTTTTCCCAAATTTCTGCTTTTTTGGCTACTAATCTGTGTGGGGTTTCTTTTTTGTTGCTTTCTGCTTTTGGGTTGGATTTCTTATCTAGCTTAATTGTGTTTGTACATGGATTGGCCCAACTTTGGCGTAACCGTCTTTTTAAGCTGCTTCTTAGAGACCTACTACTATCTGTGTTTCGTTTCAACGGCCAAAAGGTGAATAATAATATCAATACCATGTAATGTACCGTTCATCCACATAGCTGAAAGATTTGCGGTGGTTCCTAGAGTAGTCCTTCCACATCCACCCATGGACTATCCCAGTTTAGCCCTTTGGGAGAAGTAACAGTTCATACCGAATATGCCGAACTGATAGTGACAGGGCCAAGAGAAGAGGGTATCATTTAAAGTCCGTTGGTTCCCCCTTATTAACTTTGTTTTCATCTTTAAATGTGCGTCACCAAGTTTGAAGAATTAATAGTTAAGGACCATAAGAAAACTCTTTGCATACGTATTGGTACAGGTAAATAAATAAGAGCACAATTTGTATACGTATTGGTTTATGTGTATGTGTATCTTCTTTTAAGAGAATTCATAACATATTGAGAGAGTGTATCTTAGTTTCTACTTTTAGTTCTTCTTTCCCATAAATCAAAATGCCGAGTGCTCTTAAATTTATGAGATGGTGTTCTGGACTATTTTATTTTTCCGCCTCTTGGCTGTTTTAGGTGAGAAACTGATCTCTTAGGTTGTTTTGGTTTGTTTTGCAGTTTTATGAAGAGCTAGTCAGTGGAAAGGATTCGGGTTTAAACCTTTCTGAGGCACCCTCTAAACCTTCAAATAAGAAAATAGTGTTCTCGTATTCTGATTCTTCCAGTAGTGAGGGTGATGATGATGATGATGAAAAGAAACAAGAAGGAGATGAAAAGAAACAAGGAGAGGACAAGAAACAAGAAGGAGAGGACAAGGAAGCAGAAGAAGAGGGTGAAGTGGGTGAAGAGAGTAAAGGTGATTCTCGTAGTGATGATGCCAGTCATAATAATGCAACAAGTGAGAAATCAGAACACCAGAAGAAAAATGACGCATGTGACGAAAATAAAACTGGGGAAAACACTGATGACAAGAAAGAGGATAATTTAAATAAGGAAATTTGTGCAAATGAAGCTGAGGAGCCACCAGCAAAGAAACAATGTCTTGGAACAGATTCATCAAAATGTACTATCCCATACAAAGTGGAAGAGAAGTCCATTGATAAGCTAATTGAAGCCGAGCTTCAAGAACTGGGAGATAAGAACAAGGTGAGCTTCTATAATGTGCTAATATGTTAGTTGACTGTGCGAACTTGTGTGTGCCACATTCTTTCCCTTTTATGTATCAAGGTTGCATGGTTTTGTGTCCGAAATAAAGAGAAAAACATTTGTGAGGAATACTAGATGCCTAACCTCATTTTGTCTGTATTATAATTTTAGCTAGCAAGCTCTGCTTCTTCTGAGTTTTGTTTACATCATGACCCTTATGCTGGGTAAGATTATTTTGCCTTGTGGTTGATATGGTTATGAATCATTTTGTTTAACTTCTCATCTCTTTTGCATTATTTTGGCATATGCTGGATTTTTTTCTAACAATTTAAAAATAGACAAGTGTATTGCACATCGTCATATAATCAATTACCATTAGTTCATGCATCTATTTGTTTTCTTTTTGCAAATTGTATGTCATAGACTACCCTATTGTCATGTTAAGATTTTTTATTTAGATTGTTTTTTTTTTTTTTTTTACATTCTTGTACTTGCCTGAGTTTCATTTTGTGATGCTGATTTCTCTCGTTTTTTGTACTAGCATTACCGTTCTGAATTTTAACTGTTCACTAGCTTAGTTAGTATGACCATCTCCTCTTTCATTTCCTAGGATTTCTCCTACTTCAGGTTAGTTCTTTTGAAGGACATGCATAGTTGAACACCTTAATTTATTGAATTTAGTGTCTAAGGAGTAATTTTCTGTTCTAGCCTGTCTTACAGATCCAATTTTCATTCCATGTCCCTCGTATTTTTCAGTACTAGCTCTAGCATACTGAATTCTAATTGTTCATTACCTTTGCTTAGCTTGACCATCTTTTTCCTTGATTTCCCGGTGGTTTTGAATGCGAAATAAGTTTTTTTCTGGGTGGTTTAAGTTAGTTGCATATCTCTTCAGATATCTTGGTGTGTGTGCTACATGATTAATCCTTCTAACTTTCCTTGCAATCAATTTAAAGGGAATGGTTTCTTATGCTGATGTTGGATTATTTTATAGAGACGCTTTTTCACCCTTGAATCGGGTTGCAATGGTGTTGTCTTTGTTCAAATGCGGAAGAGAGAGGGAGATCCTAGCCCTAGCGCAATTGTGCAGCATATGATGACATCTGCTGCTGCAACGAAGAAACACATGTCAAGGTTTATATATTTTGCCTGTTACGTTATTTTTACAAAGAATATGTATGGAAGAAAGACCTCAATTCTCAAACTGGCTGTTATTACTTGCATATTATAGGTTTATCCTAAGAGTATTACCCATTGAAGTAGCATGCTATTCTTCAGAAGAGGAAATTTCAAGAGCAATCAAACCACTTCTTGAACAGCACTTTCCAGTGGAAACTCAGAATCCTCGGAAGGTAAAATATGCCATTAATCCTCGTCTGCCTTTTGTTATTAACAAAAAAGATATCCACATCTCTCTTATCATTACAAACCGATTTTAATTCATTTTGACTGCCTTAATAGATCGTTTCACCATAAGACAAAAGTTCTGTGATGGAAAAGCTGCCTCTACTTGCTGAATGTAGCCAGTGGGAGATTTATTAATGAACTGGAAATAAATCTGATGAGCTTTTTCTGACATTTTTTTCCTTTTGTGATTTGTTTTTTACACCTGAGTATAGTTTGGAGTTGTTTGAGTTCGAGTATAAACAAAATTTTAATCTACTAGATACTTGAGATGGTTTCTGATTTTATTATATCTTCCATTCAGTTTGCAGTCCTGTATGAAGCCCGTGCAAACACCGGTATTGACAGGATGAAAATCATAAATGCAGTGGCAAAATCTGTGCCTGCACCGCACAAAGTTGACCTCAACAATCCTGATAAGACCATTGTTGTTGAAATTTGCAGGGTAAGAAAGTTTCTTTTCCTTGTGTGCCTATTTCTTTTTTGTCACGCCACCATTCGAAAGAAGAATTATGGTAAAAAGATACTCGTGTTTGAACTGTTGATTTCTTTTTAGCTTAAAATCCCATTTTGTTTTGATTGACAGACTATTTGCTTGATCGGTATTGTTGACAAGTACAAGCAGTTGGCCAAGTACAATTTGAGGCAGCTCACATCATCAAAGCCATAGGATTTTTGTACCTCTTCAGTCAAGCTTGTAATCTGGGTTGAACTTAAAAGAAGTAATTTGGGTTTACGAATGAGAACAGGCGGTGGCGGTGAAAATATTGCGCAACACTGTACAAGCTTAGACGCCTGTTGTTTATTTTACGTAGTATTTGAGATTTAGATCCCTATTAATCGTAATGATTGCATATGGTTTTATAAGTCTAGCTCTGCTGCTTCTTAAGTCACCACAAGATTTCTGCCCTACAGCAAAACCCCAATTGTTGGTTGAAGTTGCCATTTGTTTCCTGATGATGTCAAGATCATCTTTAGAAATATTCATTCGATTCGAAGACTGTTTGGTCATCATCTATATGAATCAAACAAATTGACGATTTATCATAAGAATGTTGCTTGTTAACATAAACAATTGGCTTGTCCAACACCTAATGGATCAATAACCCGTCTCTCGGAACACGGGTTTTCAATTGTTGTAACAATCTTAAATCTGAACAAACAGAGAGAACAGCCAGGAAGAGAGGGAGAGAAACACAGGACAATTTTTAACTCAGAATTTTGATGAACATTGTCTAAATATCTCATGTGGAAAACAAGAGAGCGAAACACAAGAACGAGAACAAATCAAGGAATTACTAAAAAAACCTCCTAACAATCCAATCTAATCCAATCCATGCTCTCTAATCCAAGTGAGAGAGGCTTGGATTACAAACAGAGAGAACAGCCAAGAAGAGAGGGAGAGAAACACAGGACAATTTTTAACTCAGAATGTTGAACAGCCAAGAAGAGAGGGAGAGAAACACAGGACAATTTTTAACTCAGAATTTTGATGAACATTGCCTAATATCTCATCTGGAAAACAAGAGAGCGAAACACAAGAACGAGAACAAATCAAGGAATTACTAAAAAAACCTCCTAACAATCCAATCTAATCCAATCCATGCTCTCTAATCCAAGTTAGAGAGGCTTGGATTCTATAGTAATCACTCAACTCTCTCTAATCTAACACAACTTCTTTGCCATCGTCTCGATTATTAAGCCTTCGGAGCTTTGTACAACTTCTCCACCATCTTCCTATATTCTGCAAAGCACACGCACAGAAAGCATTACTCAGTCAGACACTTCCCATGGTAAAACAAAGCTTTTTTTTATTTTTTTATTTTTTTATTTTATTTCCTTCCGAAAATTAGTAAAAGGAAATTCAATTCAAACGCGTTGTTACCTTCTTGGTTGCTCCACAGTTGTGCTGCTTGAGCGTTCAAAGGAGAGCTGATGTTTGGTTCTGCAATACACATAAACAAAGATTGAAATTCGGTACGCACTCAACCTTCGTTTCAATTCAGATTTTATCCAATTCGATAAGCAAACGTGTTCGAGAAGAGAAAAGTGATTACCTCCTAGAAGACTCTGGATGGATAAGAGTATGGTTCTCACATCATAAGCAGATGACCATTTATCCTGCAACCAATTGATTGAGATACATAGGACAAACGATATTTTAATTGAGAGTGTGAATTGGACTAGTACAAGTTTGAGGAAGTTACCTGAAGGATATCCAGGCAAATGTTGCCGACGAGATCGACATTGGGATGAAAGAGGAGAGTCTCAAACTTGACCTTTGGAGGCTTGAAGGGATAGTCATTGGGGAAGGTGAGGGAGAGTCTGTATTCCGTTCCTTCGAACACGGTCTCTTTGCTTCCAATGATTGTCCCTTTCCAGCAGAATATGTTGTCTTCCTCAGGGAATGCAGATATCCCAGAATCCCCACCCATCTACAATATTCAATCCAATCCAATCCGATCCAATGTTATCTAACAAACATCAAAATTACTATCTCGAAACATATTCAATCAAATTCTAATAAGGATCCAAACGGAAGATAAGGAGAAAACATCGAGTCTTGGGGGAGGTCTTACCATTAAGGCCATCAACTCAGATTGCAGCCTGTTTGATTAAACACAACAATAAAGGGTTAGATTATTTATAAACCTCGAAAACCTCCAATTATCAAAACAAATTTAGTGAATTTAAACCCTAATCCATTATTCAAATAGCTCATCTGACAAAGAGAATCCCCCAAAATCCCCAGAAATCCCATTAATCATTCTTCACCAGTAAAGTAGGATGAAGATGGTACCTTTTGAGAACGGACTGCGAATCAACGGTCTTCGGGCGAGGCTGAGATTGCTTTGTGTTCGAGGGGGCAGTGGCTCCGGCCACTACCAGACTGTTATCTTGGTTCACGGCAGCCATAATCCCTCTTTCTTTCTCTTCGTTTTCCTAAAACAGAAATCGAAAACGGAAATCAACCGGAGACTCCGCTTTTCAAACGCACTGAGAGAGAAGGGCTTTCTTTCCTTCCTTCTTTCCCTCTTCTGAGTGACGAGTTAGAGAGAGAGAGAGAGAGAGAGATGTGGAAGAAGATGGGGTTGCAGAGTTTGGTTTAAAACGCTGATGGGGTGGGACTTAAACGACGTCGGACAGAGGGGCATAAAGGTATTCAAAATTTTCCGAACGTTGCAAATGCCGCTGGTGTCCTATTGTAATATGTTCTTTCCTTTCTTTATCTTCAACGGCTACTTATTTGGTTTCCATCTTTTACTTTCCTTTTTTTCCGGGCCAATTTTTATTGTGATCCGTAAAACGTAGGGATACCCATTTTTACATGTGAGTTCGTGACAACTTTACTTTAAATACTTCAAAAAGTAAGAGATTTGGACTAAATATAATAAATTAATATCGAATTAGTTATTAACTGGAATCGAATAGTTTAAAATAAAATTGTATGAATGTCAAATATACAATTGATAAATATGTATAAAAACAAATTAAGAAAGTTAATTTCTAAAATGGGTTAGTTAAGTATCTCTCAGTCTCAAGTGAGAGTTGGGATCACACACATTTTATTTTTTAGAATTGTTATTAGCACTCAAAAAATCTCATTTTACACTCCAAACTTTGTATATTAGGAAAGAAAAATACATTTGTGAGAAGTGTAAAATGAGATTTTTGGAGTACCAATAGCACTTCCCATATTTTTTTTATCTACACTAAGAGGGTGAATGATGGGTCAAGCCTGACAATGGGTCGGCCGTATAATGTGATTCAAATTCGCATTTGAAGAAAATCGAACTTAAGACCCATTACTTATCAGTAAAAAAGAATACTATTAGACTATAGTCCTAAGTGGCACACATGTTTTAGTTTAAGACTCCAAATGTTTTTCAAATTTTTTTAGTTATCATGAAAATATGAATAGGCCTCATAGTCATAGGTGTGTGTGTAATTTAATTTTTGAGTGCAAGTTTGTAATTGGGTTATTTTAGTTCCGACCTATGGTCAACTTGATTAATAGTAAACAAATAAATTTAATCAATCTCTCGATGACGAAAAAAAAACAATCTAATTTAGGATTAATTGTACAATGTACATGCCCATTTAGATTCCTGACTCAACACAATAGAAGAGGTACAAACGTAAACTCTCGAAGAACAAAGTTTTTTGAAGTCCACTAGAGTTGGGAAAAAAAAACCAAAAGATTTATTGAATAATACTTAAAATGAGACATTACATTGGGAGCCATGGGGCTTAAATAGACTTAACTCGATCATTGGGAAGTTTAGGGGTGTGTTAAGGATGTAAAAGAAGTAAATCAGACTTAAAACAAAAAGTCTGATTTTAATTACAAACTTTAAAACGTTGTTTTGGAAATCAAAACCATCATTTTTGGCCTGAAACTCTACGGGTTCATGGTATACTATGAGTCTTGTTTTGATGGTGATGCTCTTTAAAATAACATATTATATGCTCAATTATGACACCATAATATTTCTTGCTACATTTTCTATCACCTCGTCGACTAACTTCAATATTTCTCAACTTTAATTCATCTTTTTCAGAATTTGAAATATTTTATTTTCTTTATCTTTCTTCGTCAGAATTTACTCATACCTTGGTTACATCAAGCTCCACTTGAAAGGAACCTCGAGTTCATCTTAAATTGACTGATGTTTGTACCATACTTAGGGCCTCTATATTTAGATCTCGTATAAATACTCGGGGGATTCAAGTATAATTATGTAATAAATGAAGGGGCAAATATGTAATAAGTGAGGAGCCCTTAGTCTATTAAAGGGACTCCTCACCCTCACAATCCTCAAGCCTCAGATCCCCTAAACAGAGGCTCTCTCAAACTCTCTCTCTTTCTTTGGGGGACTCCCCTTCACACTTGTAATCCATACATCCATACAGAGAAACAATATCAACATCAGTGTGGACGTAGCCCAAACATTGGGGTGAACCACGACACATCTTGTGTTCTTTACTTTCTTGCAGATTCTAGGTCGGATTTACGTTGTTCCAAGACCCCGGTTTTGTGCATCAACATTTGGCGTCGTCTGTGGGAAATCGACACGAAAAGCTATGTCGGTTTTCTTTCATTTTTTCATCTCACCACCGTGAAACCTTCACAAACTTACCAATGTCCACCGTGGATCTGCAAAACCCAAGAGACACTGGCCACCCCCTCTGAAAATTCTCTCTCATCATCATATCTCTCCATCAACCTTTTCAACAACCCTCATCCTTTTCCAGATCCTCATCATCACCAAGTCCAGATTCTACCTGACATTGATTGGATCAACGTCCTCTCTGGTGATCAACCTGCAGGTGACCTACTTTCTACTCACAATAATCATGATCAAGCGGGTGATCGTGCGAAAGAAATAAGGGGTTCAAATAGAAGAAAGGCAGTGCAAAAGAAACAAATTCGAGCCATGCAGACCTCGCTTTACATTGACACCAAAAGTCTTGCATGGCCTTCACATGGCCATAGCTTCCCCGCCACCTCTAACTGGACAGAAGGCCCACTCACTGCCGCCTGAAAAAGCTGAGCTATTCAAGTCGCTAGAGGGCTGGGCCGAACAACATGTCCTCCCATTCCTAAAACTGGTGGATCAGTGCTGGCAGCCTAGCACCTTCTTGACCAACTCAACACATCAGCAGCAAATTTCAAGAGAAAGGAAGAGGATTAGAAACAGAGGATTAGCAAAATGGCTCTATAAATTGGATGGAGACCCTCCCTCGTCAAACCTTGTTTCCAACCAACCAAACACCTTCCCTCTCCCTCTAATTTTCTATTCCATTTTTCCAACCAGCAGCTAACTTCTTCACTCAGACTCAAAAGGTTTTACGTCGTCGTTTTGAACTGAGGAGAAAATGAATCACTGTGCGATACAGTAGAGCAGTGTTCTCTCAGCATGCGAAGACATGAGGTCTTGCTCCAGAGACTTCGTCGTCTGCCCCAAACCTCACCGTCTCGTCCTCCTCAACGATCCCGTCAGATCTTTTCGGTGGAATTTCGGCCACTAGGCGGAGTTCTGTGATTCAAATGTTGGGTCTGACATTTTAGACAATATTCTCATTAAGGGATTTTTTGGTGTTGAACAATTTTCGTGTACAGAAATGACCTCGCAGCACCCATTTTATAGCGGGTCACCGCCTAGCAGAGTAGCTAACCCATTAATTCAGGACGCTCGATTTGGGGATGAGCAGCTCATCTCGTCCTCAGTACTGTCGCCAATACCTGCCCTGTTAGGTCAGTCATCGTCTCCTTCCTCGTCCGCGAGGAAATAAGGCTGTGTTCGGACCAATTTTGTGAGCAAACCAGCAGTGAGTGTTGAGGGATTTGATTGTCGGGACAGGGATCAGAGGAACCGCAACATCCCTACCCTGGCATAAAGAGCCCGATTCAATCAATTAACGAAGCTACAGGAAAATGAGCAATTAATGCACAGCAGCCCAAGCTATTTGTTGATTAAAGAAATCAACTTAGCACGATGACAGCGCAGAAAATGCCCACCAACTTTCATCATGCATGTTCCCACTTTTCTTAAAAAAACTACAGGAAAAGGAGCAAGTAGGTGTATTTAAATAGACCAATTTGCTGCATGATTTGAAGGTGGACGGTAGGGAAAAGCTATGAATGTGTTTTCTGTAAAGTAGGCATGCAAATCTTCAAAGATAAGACATTGAACATCATTCCCACCATGCCCATGTCTCTCCTCTGCCACACTCAATCATCCATTCACACTTATGGAAAACAACCACAAAGATAAGACTCTTATCTTTACATCCCATACCCACTGTCATTGATGAATATTTTATTAAGTTGTCTTCTGCAAACTGGAGCAATTATTGTATAGTTATACTGATGTGTAAAGAAGGCAAAAAAAAAAAAAAAGAGTACGTCCAGTACTCCAAAATTATTCGGCAGCCTGCCGCTATTATCACCAACCAGGTGATCAAAAGTACGTTCAGTACCCCAAAATTATTCGACAGCCTGCCGCTATTATCACTAACTAGGTAATCAAAAGTAAGTTTAGTACTTCAAAATTATTCGATAGCCTGCCGATATTATCACCCGCTAGGTGATCAAAAGTACGTCCAGTACTCCAAAATTATACATGAGCATCACTCATGTCAATCATACATACACATTCATAAGCATCACTCATGTCAACAGTCATGAGCATCACTTATGTCAACATCCATGAGCATCACTCATGTCAATCAACATAAACATTCATGAGCATCACTCATGTCAATCAGCTTCGAAAGCTTCATTTACAAAGCTTCAGCTTTAAAGTTTCATTTACAAAAGCTCCAGCTTCAAAGCTTCACTTGCAAAGCTTCACCTACAAAGCTTCAGTGCAGGGTATACAAATACCGCCTCCGAACAACCGCCACTTCGGCCCATACATGGATTCAATTTGAAGTTTCTAGCCAAACAGACTTTATTGACTGAAGACTTGGGGGACTACACTATGTATCATATATTGAGCTTCCCCAACTGAGCCTCATAAAAAATACTTGGGGGACTTAGCCCATTATTTATGTATTGAGGAGCGAACCTTTATTTTATAAAATGAACTCCATCACTTTCATTAGAGAGCACCCATTATTCATGTATTGAGGAGCGAGCCCTTATTTTATAAAAGGGACTCCCTCATCATCATTAGAGAGCATCGCCACCAGCTGAGCAACCGCCTCGCCGCAAGCATCAACTCTAGCCCATCACTTATGTATTGAGGAGCGAGCCCTTATTTTATAAAAGGGACTCCCTCACCATCATTAGAGAGCATCGCCGCCTATTGAGCAACCGCATTTGCCGCGAGCATCACTCTTAGCCCATCATTTATGTATTGAGGAGCAAACCCTTATTTTATAAAAGAGACTCTCTCACCTTCAACATCACAAGCCGAGCCAACCAAGGCAACATAAGCGACAAGCCGAGCAGCCTCGCAACATGTGCTACTTCTAGTTGAGCATCATTTCACATTGAGCACCGCCTCATATCGAGTATCAGTTCTAGACGACATCTAGTTACTTCGGCCCACACATGGACCGAATTTCAAGTCTCCAGCCAAAAGA